CAAAAAGGCAACGAGCCAACAATAGCTGACTCTAAGCTAATAGGGCAGATCATTTTGGCATCATCTGATTATTTCTTGGTCTAATTTGGAATGGATATGATTTTACCAAGTGGTTGGTGTAGGGTACTGTCATGACTCCACAAGACAGCTTGAGAATTCCCGATTCTTGTTAAAAGTCAGAGGAGTCTTTTTAAGCTTTCACCGATTCAATTTGAGTAACAGTCGTGGAGCACCTAGAATGGGAAAGTCACAGGAGGTCGGTGGAGGTTAAATGTTTGTCCATTTTGTGGTTAAATTTCTCTAGGAGGAGAAAAGAATTTATTTTTAATGATGTGCACTTAGAGTAGCCAGCCTGTGCGCTACTCTTCTTAGATACTACTGGATATTTGTTCTTACCAACTTCAAGTTAAAGATTATTAGCCACAGGGAAAGTTTATTAGAAACTAGGAAAGAAACAGACCCCTTGTTTCTGTTTTTTATAATAATAATTGGTAGTGAGTAGGTGGGTCAGCTAGCGTATCCCTCGTTCCAAGTTCTGGTCTCAGTGTAAGCTGCAGATCTGGAGTTAAGAAGCTCTGAGTAGCTCTATGACATTTTTAACTAGTGGAAGGTACATGTCTACCTGTAATTCACAAAACTCTTAAATATCTGTTTTTAGCCAAGACATCCTCAGGGCAAATGGATTTTGTACTGCATTTTTTTCAGGGGACTCGGGAAGATTAGGCATTCTTGGAGCCTGGGCCAACTTCTTTTTTTTGCCTTCTTGGTCTCTTGGACCTCAGATCATTTCGCTGCTCAGGGAGGACTGGGTGTACATCACCAGGTGGGCTTTACAGCCTGAGTAGGGGGTCTGTTGAAACTGACTGAAGCAAAACAAAGCAGCCTTTTTGAGAGCCATCATTTATGAAGTTAAAAGCCTAAGTAGTCACTGAGAGTTCTTTAGTCACTATAGAAATTCTTTAGTCACTATAGAAAATGTGTTTCCCTTTAGTCTTAGAAATCCAGCTCTCAAAAGATTGTTTCCCCTTGGGTACCTGACTTACAATCAGGGTAGGCTGCCTCCAGGTAATGATTTGATTTTCTCTGAACTGTGGAGGAAAAGGGGAAAGGATTCAACTTTTGCAATTCCTACAGCTTATCTTCAGGTGCAGAAAATATTTAGCATTTCAAGAACAACTTTTTTTGTTTGACCTTTCTAGTATTTTTCACAGAGATTTCATTTTGATTGAAATTTGGTATTTTCAAAAAAAATAGGATGATGGTTTCCTTTATAATTCAAATAAATGTCTTGTCACAAAATTGAAAAATGTGGTTTTCGAAACACTGGAATTTTTATTTCTCCCACGATTATGCATTCTCTAAAGTCGTTCCGTCTGTATAAAAATCTGCCTTCTCTTCTTTTTCTAACAAATTTTACTTACTTAACCAGGATGAAGGTTTTTAAGGAGAAATATCATCTATCATAAATTCACAAATTTAATATTTTTACCAGTCAAAACAAACAGTGATCTCAGGATTACTGAACTGTGTCATGTTACTTAAGCATTCAGGCATATAAGTGCCTGTTTTAAAATAGATCAGGAAGGACTCAAAGAAGGTTTTGTGCCTCAAGAGAAACCTTTGAGGCTCTTTCTGCACAGACTTGTATAGAAACTTAAAGGAATACGTTATGAAGGAGGATAGGGACAGCATTATTTCCCTCACCGTTGAGGAAGGTCATTAGCGCGTGTTACTTATTCTGCAGATCTACAGCCCAGGAGAAGGGTAGCAAGTCAAATGCGCAATCAGAGAGCCCCAAATAATGGTGATCATCAAAACTGTCTTGGGCACCAGCTCCAGTTGGTGCCAAGTGTTGTTAGTCTGGAGACACAGAAAAGAATGACCGACACCTGCTGCTCTTGACTCCTGCTCTAGGCAAGACGTAAAGGACTCCAATGGGATGTGTAAATGGAGTAATGTTGGTAAAAGCCACATGCGCCAGAATGAGGGTAGCAGTCTGTGTGGGTGAGAGGCAATTGAGAAAAACCTTAGAACAGGAAGAAATATACCATCTTGGCCTTTAAAAAAAAAATGGAGTTTTGCCAAGCAGAAAGAAAAAGGAATGATATTCAGGGAAGGAGGAGGTAGGTGGAACTTGGACAAAGACCAGTGGGGTGAAAGGTCATGGGCGTGTTTGGGAAACCGCCAAGTTGACTGATGTGTTGGGTGTAGGTGACGTGCGTATGGTGGGGAGCGTGTGTATGGTGGCTGTGGTGACAGATGAGCCCGCAAAGCTGGGGTCAGGTTTGGAAGGGCTCTAAATGCCGCGGCAATTTGCAGAGGCATTTGAACTTTATTCTATAGACGTGAAACCCCAAAGACTTAAGTAGGGTAATGACATGATCAGATCTTGGTTTTAGAAAAGGAATTCCAGCGGCAGATGGAAGATGGCAGGCGCAGGTAGTCCAGAGGTGAGAGAGATAAAGGGGCTTGCAAGGATGGAGGAACAGCCAGGCATTTGAGAGTCTTTTTGGCAGAAGACCAAATGTACTTGGTGATGGGATTGAGAGGGAGAGAGGGGCAGACAGATTTCTAGTCTGCATTAACTGGATCTCTAGAAATGAGGGACGGAATATATGAGAAAGAAGTTCTAGAATGAAGGCACTGATTTTGACTTTGGGACAGTGCTCTTGAGAGTCTGGCCAGGGCCCTAGGGGACAGTCGGGAAGGTGAGATTTGCACCTGAGAGAGATTAAAATCTAGATCAAGGTCAGGAGGCCGTCAGGGGACAGGTGGAGCTGAAGCTATGGAAACCACTGAGATTTTCCAGGGGGAGGACATAGAACAGGAAGAAAGGAGGGTTCTGATGAAACCTTGGGGACCATTGATGTCCGAGGGGAGGAAGGGGAGGAGGTGGAGATGCAGAGGAAGGGGATACAAAGGCAGAAGGAGAGAACTATGTTGTAGACTCACGCAGAGAGTTTTAGGAAGGAGGACAAGGCCCTCCAGATGTCACACCAGAGACCAGTAGGATGAGCACTGAGAAGCAGCCATTGGGTTCGGCACTAGGGGTCCCCCCGAGGGCCCAGCTCACCCAGTTCCAGACAAGTGGCGGGGGAAGAGGTCAGACTGCAGAGAGCAGAGCTGGCACAGGTGCCAGGCCAGCGCAGGCCGTGCCCAGATGACTAGACTGTTCCAAGACGCCGGCGTCACTCAGCCTGGCCAGAGTGCTTGCCCTTCCGTTTCAAATGCGCGATGCTTGTATTTTCCAGCCCAGAGAGTGCACCCTGCTTTGACCTCTTTGTATTTTTAAAACTTTGTCACTCTTTGTTCCTGCTTTTGTTCCTTGGAATTTATGTTCTTGAGTTGTCTGAAGGTTTTTATTTTAGAGACTCTCAGATCATTTTCCTTGCTGTCGTCCTTCCTGCCACCAGCGCCCCCTCTCTCCCTCCCTCTCTCTCTTTCTGCCTCACACACACACACACACACACACACACACACACACACACACACACACGACTGTGTTCTGTGTTGTCTAATTACATTGAAAGTGCTCAGACTGTTCATTCATGAGTTTTGTTTTTGATGTTTCTAATTAGCTTTCCTGGAATAGGGGAAGTATCTTCAAGCAATTCCTATTTATTGTGGCAACAATGACAATTTATGCTAATCTTATATCCTCTAAAAAGACCGGAGAGCTTTGTCTTTGGAAAGCTTAAAGCAGGTGACTGCATATTGTTTGGCTAAATGACAAAGCAAGTGGATTTGCACACTCGGGAAGGATGGCAGCTCACCCAGTGACAGGGTCTGACCCTCCGTCACTGTCACCTGTGGCGCTCGTGAATAGAATCCTCCTTGATAGCAATTTGTGGATTTGGGCAGAAGATCCTTGCCTGGACATTTGCCGTCTGCGTGGTTTGTAGAATGACGATGTTCTGCCTCTCAGGTTTCTACCGTTAGATACAGACCTTGGAGACACACAGACTTCTCTCACGAACATTCGGGTTCCAGTAGGAACACTGTCCAGAGACTCACAGTTAATTGTGCCGGGTGGAAGTGAATTCCTCTCACTGGAGAGATTTTGAAAACATCCATGTGTCTTCCTTTGGACGGTGACAGAGCGCGCATCCCTGTCCTGTGGGTAAGGGGAGGGAGAGAAAGGTGTGTCCCCTTGTTTAGGTGTCTCTTTCATGGTTACTGAGGAATGTAGACACTGAGGCCTTGGTATGGCGACAACATTGGGGCTTCCAGTGGTTTCTCTTGACACAGGCAAGTTTGTCTCCTGAAGCAGGAGTTCTGCTGGGGTAGAAGCCAGCTTGGAGTCTGTCTTTGGAGATACGAGTTGCTCCTGAGAGTCCGGGAACAGAGAAGGACTCGGTGGCTTGTGGCACTTCCTTGGCCCGTGCACGCAGAGCCCGAGTTTTGTGGTCTGGAGACGACCGACTGTGTGGTCCTTGTTTGTTGATTTGGTTTAAAAAGGACACAAACTGCTTCATGAAAACTCACGTACCCTGACCAATTAATCACCCCTTGTCGCTACCATGGGCAGCACCGACTCACCCTGTGATCACCTCCTTACCATCTGGAGAAGAAATCCAGCGTTTGCAAAGGGGTCTGAAATTTCCTTTGGACGAAGGGCCCGTGGGAACCCCAGAATTTTAGCATGACTTTCTAGTCTACGCGGGGACCCAGTCTTTTCTGCAGGAGGGACCTCTTGTGGGAGCGTTCCTGTTGGCTCCAAGGGATACCCCCATACTGAGCAGTGGGCAGCAGGTGGCACCAGGAGGTGGCCAAACCCACGTTGATCTCTGTGTATCCCTTTGCACGAGGGCACGCTTGCCTGTGTGCGTTGCTTTGAATAAAGACATTGGGTAAGGGGCCGCGCTGGGTGCAGAGTAATAGTGATACCTGGGACCGCACTGTCATTACTGTCACCCCACATGTCGGTGGCAGGTTAGTGGGGCCACGGCCAAACCGATCTCCTGAATCTAAATGTTCTCTCTCTCCCTCTTTGTTCACAGCGGGGCCTTTTCTGAAGTGGTTTTAGCCGAAGAGAAGGCGACCGGAAAACTCTTTGCGGTGAAGTGTATCCCTAAGAAGGCGCTGAAGGGCAAGGAGAGCAGCATAGAGAATGAGATAGCCGTTCTGAGAAAGTAAGTGCCCCCACCCTGCCCGTGTGGCCCACCCGGAGGCTGGCTTCCCCGCCAGCACGACCTACTGAGCGGGGCAGACCCTGCAAATGATGCCCGGTGGTCAGATGGTCATACAGCGTGTTCAGAGCATTCCCCGTGTCGATCTGCCGTGTCCGTAACATTCGCTGCCATCACTGGAGGTGGTCACCACTTGCAAAGAGCACGTCTGTCAGGCCGACTTGGTTTTGAACTGAGACCCTGTCACTCACGATAGCCGAGTGACATTGGGCCAGTTACTGAACCCTGGGTCTCCTCTGGAAGGTGGAGTTCATAATATCCCCCTGCCAGGGTGTTCGAAGGGTTAAGTGAGATGGCACGTACCAAGTGTTTGTAAAGTGCTTACCGTAGGACCCGCCGCATAGCAGGTGCCACCGCTGCTATGAGTACTGTTATTGTTGCTGTTGTGATTACTGCTTTATTTTATAGCAAGGAGATGAAGCTCACCAAGTAGAGTTGTGTGCCCAAAGCCTTGCAGCTTATAAGTGGCAGAGCCTGGAATGCCAACCCCTCCAGTGTCATTTCCTCGCTTTGTGATGGTTTCTCCCCTTTCTGCCACAGAGACAGCATCTGGCACCCAGCAGGTTCCATATGGGTCACTGTTCAGGTGCCTCACCTCTTCATTGAGTTTTATTTTTGCTCCCTCCGTGTGATAGAACCAAATCAAAATCTTGTCCCCTCCAGGATAGTGGCGCACACAGGCCCATCTTGACGTGGCTGGATGTAGCCCAGAGATGCTCCTTCCTTAGCGTGTTGTCTAGTTCTGCCCTGCACGCCGGCATGGTTAAGCTGTTCCACCGTATCTCACAGGGTTTGGGGGAACAAGCCCTTATATGGTACCTGCCTTTGCATGTTTGGAGTGTATCTGAGCAGCGTGGCATGGAAATATTTTAGAGTTGCTATTAATAAAAGATGTTCCAAATATCCTTGAAATTTTTGGGGTTTGGAACCAGCGCATGGCAAGAATCTCTGTGCAGATAAACAAAGCAGAATGAGAACAAGCCTTCTATGGCCTCAAAACAAACTATCACACCCCTCACAGTCTTCCTGAGTAAGTCCTGTCTCCCACTTCTCTCCTCCTGGGACCAGCAGTGGCCACTGAATGATGCTTTGCCCTTGTCCGTACAAACCCGGCACCACTAAGGTGGTCAGGACGGTCTATCCTGTTCTGACCTTGGTGTGACTCACAGAGGAAGCCGCAGAACAAGTGATAAGAGTTCGAGAACAAATGGGTCTCCATAGCTCTTTAGTGTGCGCGTTTTTGCTTATTTGTTTGGTTGTTTGGTTGGTTTCTAGGTTCTCTGGGTCGTCTGTTAGGAATCCAAGGAGTTTCAGATTGTCTTGAGGAGGGTTGCAGGAAGAGAAGCTGGGAAAACAAATTAAGTGCATTAGCATCAAGCAGGAAAACACTATGTTAATGACACATTTATTTAAGTTGTGCATTTTCCAATATGAAATCAGTACTTGGAGAAGAAGTGACTTGCTGGTGACATTAAGTGGCAGACACATTACAGACATTTAACATTTCAGGTGGAATTCTGGGTGGGCCCAGAACTTTCCGAAGGTTCTGCCTTGGGCACAGGGGCGATCCACTGCTGAGTTGAGGATGATGCCTTTATTTTTATGTGAGTCCTTTGTGAAGTTGAGTCAGTTTCATTTTAGTGTTATTTTCCATCTGCATGGGCAGAGGGCATGGATGTAGGTTTTATAAGCCTGTCCTGTATATGACATGGCCATTCTGCTTTAATTAGTGTCTTCCCTCTGTGCCTCACTCAAGCAATCACTTCCAGGGAGAGGGAATTTAAAACCAGAGAGGGTCAGGGATTTGAAATAAGTTGTTTTGATAGTTCCTTACTGTCAGTCACTAGAGTGCCTTCAAGCATGACCCGTCTTTCAGGAGTAAAGAACAAAGAAATGATTTCTCCGGGGATAAGAAGGTGATCTATTTCCATGTGGAATGAGAGGCAGTCCCACTTCACAAGCAGCTGAAAGCAAAGTCTGTGAGCTGGAAAGAAGCTAGCTTGGAACCACTCTTTGAATGTTGTCATGGAGACATTCATTCATTTAGCAAATATTTATCCAATTCCCACCGTGCGTCGGGCAGCAGTGCTAGGCGCTGAGGTGAAAAGATCAGATACAATTCTTGCCCTCTGGGAGCTCACAGTTTTGTCACTAAATAAGTGCAATGACATGTAGATGCTGTGGAAGGAGCATGACCAGGACTCCAAGAGTAGGGATGCCCCATTCTTTTAGGGTGGGGTGTGAAGAAAGGTTTCATGGAGGAAGTGGGTCCAGACAATGAGTGTGTTTTTCTGGGTCAGAAACGCACAGGGAGATCCCAGCAGAAGCAGCAGCTCGCGTGGAGGTAAGGGGATGGGAGACAGGCTGGGGTGCTGGGGAACTCCAGGGCAAAGGGTTCAAGGTGAGGCTGGCGAACACCTAAGGATGGAGAGGTGGGATCGTGGAGGGCCAGGTATACCCCACTTTGGAATTTGAACTTCATCCTGTAGACAATGGGGACCCAGTGAAGGGATTTCATGAAAGCAACAACGTGATCAGGATGGTTCCATGAGCTTATCATGGCAGGATTTGGAGGGGCCAGGACTTAATACGTGTAGGGAGAGTAGTTGGGAGGCCCTTGGGAGAATCTGGTGGAGAAATGGAGAAGTGCCAAATTAAAATAGGAGCTGTGGAGTTGGGATGGGAGGGACAGATACGAAGAGTGTGAACATGGCAGAATCTCTAATACTTAGGGATTTGGGAGGAGTGCGCAGAGCATTGAGGGGGAGAGATTCCGGGGTGACTGCCAGGTTTCTGACTTGGACAACTTGGTGGATGGTGACCTCGTTAACCGAGATCAGAAATACAACAGCAGCAGGGCAGGTGATGCGTTCTGATTTAGACATACTACATTTGGGGATCTGGAGATGTCCAGGTGGAGATGACCCGTTGACTGTCTAGGTGTGGAACTTAGCTGTGATCCAGGTTTGGTGAATATTAAAGTTTTCCGAAACAGCATATAGGAAAAAAATCTTTCGGTACTTTCCATAACTGAGTCGTTATAGATAGGATCGCAAACAGACCCACTTTATTCTGGGTTGCGCCATATACCCTGGTCGTTTGTATATTTCCATGCTATTTTTGATGCAAAAGTCCTGTTTAAGAGACTGCTCGCCCTCCTATGTGCTGAGTTTATTGTAGGGTGAGAGATTTATTTATTTCAATGGATTAAAGTAATGTAGCTAATATATCCTCAAGGATGTCTTTGTACTTGGTCCGAAAATAGTTCCAAAATGAATTTTCTACTAGATAAGTAGATATTAAACTAAGCTCAGAGGGGACAAAAAAAATCCCAGTAAACATCATCGTAGGCGGTTGCTATGCAGCAGCTCCGACTTGGGCATCAGTGGGCTGCATCTATATGTTTCAGCACCGGCTTTTCCAGAAGGAATGGTTAGTCCTGGTCCCCAAATGGAGTATGTTATATGAGATGGAATATAACATCATCAGTGTTACGCACCTTGGGTTGGATTATAGAGTTTATGGTTTCTGTGGTATTATTTACTTAGCGGGCAGGCACTGCTGAAATCTAATTTCAAGGCAACACATAAAGCACTTCTGCGGGGTGGAAAGACAAATGTGTAATCAGTCGGCAGATAAATGAGAGATGGAGAGAGAGGAGATGCATAAACTGAAAACTGAGCGACAGAAGAAGCAAAACGTGTATCTAGAGCAGATCTTTTACTAATAGTTGGGGAAAATGAGGCTCAGATTCGTTAAAGAGGTGCTGTCGGAATGAAATACGGCACTAGAATTCAACATCCTTTCCTGATGGTCACTCTGTAGACTGCAGAGATTGCCTTGCCTGGGGGAGAGGGCCCGAGCAGGAGGTGCTTTGCAACTGCATGTTCTCATCCATCTGGGTACACTGGGGGGGGTCTCTGCCTCTTTCTCCCCAATCAATGTCTCTCAGCCTTGGCTGCACATTAAAATCACCTGGAAGCTTGTAAGATCATATTGATGTCCAGGCCCCGTCCTGGACCCATCGAGTCAGAATTGAAGGTTATAGCAGGCGTTGGAAAATTGAAAAAGCACCTGCCCTGACCCCTACCCGGTGATCTTAGTGCAGAACGCAGGCAGTGTGAGAACAACTGCTCCCGGGCCTCCCCTCCTGGGCCCACCTGCCAGGGGATGAAGCTGCTCTGCGTTAGTCCAGGAGTGTGGGCACATGTGTAGAGATGCTCAGACGCACAGAAACACACACCTGACAATGTCTCCTTTCGGGGAGAGGTTTCATTGAGAGGAGCAGACTCCAACGTGCTCTCTTGCCCGAGCTGCATGTCATTATTGCGAGAGAGGTGAATTGACTTGAGGCCATCATCCCCTCAGCGGGGTACAGACGCCAGCCACTCGCTGGGCTCAGGAGCGAGGACCTCTGACTTCGAGGGTGGCCCACGAAGGAGGGGTAGTAATGGCGGCGCCTGGCCAGGAGAGGCTGGTGCACGTGCCGTGCATATGATCTGAGGGGGTCATGGCTGCAAAAGGTGGCAGGTGCGAAAGCCCAGGATGCTGGGCTGGAGCCACTGCCACCCCTGTGGGTAAAGGTCTGACTAGAAGAGAGGACATGCGGAGGGAGAGTGAGATAGCACCCAGCCGCGGACGGGCAGGACAGGACTCCAGAGGCCCAAGGGATTGCCACATCTTCCGGTTACCATAGACCAGACACCTTCCGCTCAGTGCAGGCCAACTAGGGGGAAGGCAGCATCTTTGTTCAAAGAAGACAGCTGCGTTGGGATTAAAGAACAGCCCTCAGAGAAAGGCTGCAATGTCCGTGAACTTGTGGAAGTCTGGCTTGCTCCTGCTCTTGGGCTTTGTTCTGAAGGGAGGCTGGCTCTGTGCTCTTGTTTAAATCCCTGCCAAATGCGAGTTTATTGTGTGTGTTAGAGAAACATATGCTTCGGTAG